CTATGTGCATTTGTGGTGTAGTATCCTGAAAACACTGCTTCCTTGTGGTCATCCACTGCTGCTGGCTCTTACAATCTCCCTGCCCTGTACTTTGCAAGTATCTCTGAGCTTTGGAGAAGGTGTGTAATATAGACTTACATGATATTTAGCACTAAGCACTAATGCTGAACCCAATGCAGTCAGAACTAGATTGAAGGCAGGGAGTTTATTAAAGGGATAGTACTCATGCAAGGGCCAGTGACCGTTTTACACTGGAGCCGGAGTGACCCGAAGATGTCCATTCAGCCAGGAGGGAGAGAGAAAAGAGGGCTGTGTGCATGCCTCTCTGCTACTTAAACCCTTGCTACGTCACTCTGACCACACCCAAGTGGGCATGGTCAGCAGTACCTCTAATCAGGATTACTCCCTACAAAGCACCCTGTAGTTTCTTATTCTCTCAAAGTTGACAAGTTGTGGGTCTGTTAATCACCATCTACTGCAGAAGTTTTTCTAATGAGAGCTGAGTGATTTGCTAATCTATGGTGATATGTCATAGTTTAATACTAGGCACATTTAGCAGAGTAATATTCGTAGGTTCCCCCCTAGGGCTTGTGAGTTGTCTAGCCACAGATTCTTGACCCCATATGGGTTCCCACCTGTAGAGTGGATCTTCAATCCAATTAGAAAGTGGTTGGTTACTCTTATGACATTTGGGCCACTTTTATACCAGTGGAAAATCTTGGCAGGTCATTCATTATTGTAGCTCACAAGAGTCACAGATGGGTAAGACTGGTGGTTGTTTTTCACCTCTGGTAGTGTGTACAGTAGCTTCCAGAACCATGAAAGCTAGCCGGACAGGGATGAAGCTTCCTGGTGAATACCAGCTTGATTTCTCTGTGTTCTACGACTCAAGCATGTGGTGTGTGTCTTCAGCAACAGGGTCTTATGTCAACTCTTGGAGGGTAATCAAGAGTACTGGCAATAGCATGGAGTGTTAGGGCTCTGCAAGACCTCATTGTCAATGGCTTCCCAAAGAGGCAACCCATTCCTGGTTCTGCACCTTATATTTGTTAAAAGCCTGTGGTATCTAGTGGGGATATTGTTGTGAACACCAGAGGGCTGTCTGACTCCTCTTTGTTCTATAGAACAGAGGCTCACATAGAAAAAGGGACCTATCTAAGGTTACACATGCAGAACCCAGAGCAGGACTGACCTTCCAGGCCACGCAGGTCTCTGAACCTGTCTCCCCTCTGCCATTATACTCACCATGTGCCCTCCTGGCTCTCCACACTGGCTGAGTAACACTGGGCCAGCTTTTGTTTTAAATGTCTCCCAGTTTCATCTAGAAAATGAGGCAGCCCCTCCTAGTGAGTCAGATGATTAAAATAAGAAATGGCACCTTTCATGGGTGATACTCTTAGCCAGTCTTGGGTCCAGAATCCTTCCAAAAGGAGAGGTGGCTACCTCAGAACCAGGAAAGGAAATCCACAGGCTCTTATGCTCTCCAGTGGCCTGTCCACCTGGGTAAACACATTTCTGGGATGGGGGCCCAAGCCTTCCACAGTGGCACGACCACAATGTTCTTTCTGAGGTGGCACCCATTCTGCCTCCTTGTCTAGGCCAGCTCTGCTAGAATGGCACTTAGGCTGGGAGTTCCTTTGGTCTCAGAGACAGAAAGCGTGTCTAATTGCCTCTCTTGGTCACAGTTCTCTCTCCCCCAGAAACAACCCAAGCTCCAGGTTGCCCAGGGCTGGGGTTAGGGGTAAACAGCATAGCAGATCCTGCAGGCTTCTGAGAGCAGGAGCTGTTCTGTGTGACCACAGGCCCTGGAGGAACTTGGAGCTTAATAGCTTCCTGTGAGCCTTGGGACCCCATGTTGAGAAAGGGAGTGGGTGGGAACCATCTACTGCTGGTTTTGATCTTAGAATGATACAGGTAAGTCTCAGGGTTCCTGCCCAGAGTTGCCATGGGAGGGACAGAGACCTTGGAAATAGTGGCTACAGGACTTCCTGCTGTCGCTGGTGTATACAAGTTCAGACGCAGACTTCATTTGGAGGAACAATGACATGGTACTTCCTCACTGTGCTCCAAGCAGTTTCTCTCTCTCTCTCTCTCTCTCTCTTTCCTCTCTCTCTCTCTCTCTCTCCTTCATTCTCTCTCTCTCTCTCTCTCTCTCCCCTCTTGCTCTTCCCTCCCTCTCTCTTGAACAGGGTCTCATTAATCCAGGCTGACCTTGATCTACCGTAGCTGAGGCTGACCTTGAACTCTGTAATCCCCCTTCTACCTCCCAAGTTCTGAGATTATAGCTGCGCTGGTTAAGCAGTTCATTCACATCTCAGTGGTCAGGGACCCTTTCACACCTTGTTTCACACTATACCCAGGGCCTTGGTTCTCAGGACAAGGGAGAAAGCTAGAAAGCTAGCATCTCCTGGTTCAGCCAGGGAAACTGAAGAGCAGAGAGTGACCCCCTCAAGGTGACATAATGAGGGTGGAACAAGGGACTGAAACCTTCCCCAATCATGTTGCCTTGGCTCCAGAGATTAGGGGGATTAACTAAATCCTGGGACTCGAGCTGGGTTTATCAGAGGCGCCACTCTGGGGGCCTTGGGGTGACTTGGCATCCTATACCTCCGGGTCTGTCTCAGTGGCTTGGGATACCTGACTCCTACCCTGGCTCGTGGCCCACATGTCTGTCTGATTCATGCTATGGGGTTGAATGGTAAGGACCTGGGATAAAGTGGACAGGAGCAGCCTTAGGAGCCACCTTTGTTTTTCTGAGTCTTCCCCTAAAGCAAGCCCTACCCCTGTGCCTTGCTGGGCACATCAGGATCACTGGGACCTGTGTCTTCTGCTTGGGCAGATGATAGGGAGTGAGCCAGGAGGAGGATGGGGAACCAGCAGGCCTGGCTACCTGGACAGGGCTGAGGGCAGCACAGGGCACTCCTCACATATGTAGTGGGAATCACATTTGCAGAGAGTATGCTAGCTATGGCCTGTGTCCTCCCAGTTGGGGAGGGGTCAATGTACTGCTCTCCATGGTGGAGCAGGCAAAGCCACTGTCTTCCTCACGCACAGCTCCACAGTCACTTTCCCCACTCTCTGGAACCTTCTGCAACTTCAAGGAGCTATGGAGGTGTCCCCGAGCACCCTAGTGTGTGGCAGGTACCAATTGACTGATAACCTGCACCACAGCTCGATGGCTGACCCCAGCAAGTACTGCATGAGTGGGTGTGAACACACAGTGCATCAGTGGGTGTGAACACACAGTATATTAGTGGCTGTGCACACACATCAGTGGGATGAACACCCTGCAAGTGCTACATCCGTGGGTGTGAACACACCGTGGATTACACTTCTTTGTGGATCATGTGAGTGTCCACCTAGAGTGTCTCAGGGAATGAACTTGAACTCCAGGAGGGTGGGAACCAAGATGGGACAAATGCAGGATTGATAAGCAGCAGGCATTACTCCACGGAAAATGTCACCGAGGGTAAAGACCTGACTTGTGGCAATCCTGAACATCTAAGGTAGCCAGGACTCAACCTGCCATGAAAAGTGCAGAATTTATATAAAGCAAGAGATGAACCTTATTGAAAGATGTTGAAAATCCAACGAGCAGTGCTGTGAACCAATTCTGTTTGGCAAAGGTACAGAAGGACTGCCAAGAAGATACTGGAAGGATAGGGCTACTCACTAGAGCACATGCAGGACTTGCTTCTAGGTTACAGCAACTCAGAGTCTGGTGTTTGTCATACAAGAACAGTTTACCCAGGCTGAGGCTATAGCTCGGTAGAGTGCTTGCCCAGCACACACACAAAGCCCTGGGTTCTATCCCCAGCACCACACAAACCAGGAGTGAGACAGAGCTAGGGGCATCAGAAGTTCAAGACCATTTTTGGCTATCAAGTACAAGGCCAGACAGGGAGACATGGGAGCTTGCCTCAGGAAAACACAGAAAAGCCTGAGAAATGTTCCACAAATTTTGGGGCAGGGCAAGGGGAGTGTTGTCATTAGAAGTCCCTTCCAGTGTGGAGACCTAAAGGGCCCCAAGACTGGTGCTGGAGGAACCAGCTTGTCAGGCACATGGCCCAGGGGCAGATTCTACAGTAGGGCAGGGCTTCCCAGGGTGCCTTTCCTGGAGACACACCCATTTCTGATTTCTCCACCCTTCCAATGCCCATCTGGACCCTTTACCTCCCTGTTCTCTCCTGAAGGCTCCAGTTGCCACTGCTCCCATCCTTCTGGGGCCCTGTACAAGGGCAAGGATCCTTCTGAGAGCACTGCTTCTCTTACTGCCCGCTTGTAGCCAGAAGTCAGTGGTAACACCAGTGACCACTGGGCATCTGCTGTGTGCAGATATGGCCTGGGACTTGTATGGCCAGAACCACAGTCAACAGCAATGGCAGGCACTGTTTCTAGTACTTGTGTATGCTCTCAAGTAAATGCTAGCACTAGGGCAGATTAAACAGCCATGGCAAGGATACACAGGCAAAATATGGAGTTTGAGGACCGGGTGTATCTGTACCTGGAGGAAATGAGGTCCAGAGTGGGTATGTATTTTACCCAACATCACACATCAGCTTAAAAGGTGTTGAAACACCACATGGTGGGCAGGGCTGGAACCTCTCGTCCCCTGCATATGCTGTAATAGCCTTCATCCTGCCCCTGTTGTACAGATGTGGAGACTGAGGCCCTAGAAGGGTGGGATCTTGCTGAAGGTAACCCAAAGGGAAAACAGAGATCTGTTTGAATCCAGAGAGATGTCTTCTGCGAGGGCGTTAGATTGCTTGGTGTTTGTTCCAGGGACTACCATTTGCTGACTGTGAATTCCCTTAAGTCATCCTGATTACTCTGAACTGTCACTGTCCTCCTATGTGGAAAGGGGACAGTTGGAACTGTTATGAAGATATCCAGGTACCTGGCAGGCAATGACCCATAGTGTCCCCAAGCCAGTCAACCTCACTACATCATGGCCCAAAGACACTCAGACTTGGCTAGGACCAAATAATAAACTTTACTCTCTAGGACAGGGATTCTAGGTTCGAGTCTCTGGGAGGCGTGACAGAGCCGTGCACACGCACACGGTACAGGCAAGTGAAGCGAGGGTTCCCCCAGTTGCTGGAGATCTTCACTTTGACAGCAGCAAAGCCCCTGGGTGGCTGGTTCTGGAACAGAGCCAGACAGTGGCAGCTCCCCCACAGGCCTCTGCTCCACCCAGCAGAGGGGCCTTGGAAGAAAGAGGTGTGGGAATGGAGTCCTAGAGAGGGGAACAGACTCAATGCTCATCAGCTAGGGTGAAAGGTGCTGAGGCCAGAAGCACAGACATAGTGCTGGAAGGAAGATGCCTTGACAGTATGATGCTGTGGGGCCCTCAGCAAGCCACTGTGCCTCTCTGGGCCTCAGTTTCCTCTCTTTAAGATGGGGGTGCTCATAGATGTTCCCCTGATTACTGTGGACATGAAAGGACCTTTTGGCTCCTCAGCCCCCGGCTTGTCATGGCTTCTCTTTTACCCTAGCCAATCCATTCCCCATGCCCAGAGTGGGTGGAGATGGTGATTATCAAGCCCCCTGCCCAGTTGGAAAAGGCAGAGCTGGACTGGTGGCTCAGGCCTATAACCCCAGCTACTAGTGAGACCAGCCTGAGCCACATAGTCGGATTCTGTCTCAAAGTTAAAAAAAGAGGGTTGGGGATATGGTTGAGTGGCAGAGCACTTGCCTAGCAAGTGTGAGATCCTAGGCTCACCCCTCAGCTCTGCTATAAAATCCAAACCAAACCTCAGTGCATGTTTTAGCTTCCCAGGGAATTACAGAAGGAACTCTGAAGCCTGGGGCCCAGATCTGGTGAGGCTGAGATTTGGACCAGCGTTAGCCAGATCCCAAACTCGGACAGTCATGTTGCCTGTTCATCCAGTTCTGCGTCTGTCTGTCCCCAAGTTCCTCCTCTCCAGGCCGAAGTTCCCTCTCTTATGGCCAGGTCAGGTGGCGACTAGGGGCTCCAAACACAGAGGCCTTAAGTTTGGAGCCAGGAGCCCTACTTGCTGGGCACTTTGTGTTCAACATTTGCTATCAAGGAGATGCAGCAAGAGGACTCCTGGAGGGACCTGAAAACGAGGACGACTAGCAGGGGTCAGAAGGCTCTCCCTGGGTGCTACTCTGGGCCCCAGGTAGCAGCTCCATGTCACTTCAGTTTCCTCATCTGTCAAGTAGGCTAGAGTGACTATGCCCCTCTCAGGGCTGTAGGGGACTGGGGAGAGTTGCACATGGGGTACACACTCTGCAGATGCTCCTTTGTGGCCTCCCCAGGTACCTGGAGTGGGAACATCTGGATCGTGTTTTCTGGCTGAAACTGGAATGCCCCCAGGAACACTTCTTCCCTGGGGGGGCTCTCCATTCCCTGTGGAACCAGACAATGGAGGTATGAAATGCAGCAGGCTAAGATTTGCACAACTCCTGGGATGGGGGAGGGGCTCCTCATCAATGTGTGTAGTGTCACAGCCTGGCGTCTGGGACAGGAAGGGCCACTTCATGGGGAGTGGGAAGCTGAGGTTTATTTCCAACCCCACCAGTAAGGACCAGGCTGCTTCTAAGTTCTTCTCTGGATCCCGTTCTACTGATTCCTCTATGGGCTGCCTCAGTGTGATGGAGCCCAATGGTCTCCCTCGTCTCAGAAAAGCCTTGGTTAACTAGACAGCTGTCTATATTGGTTTTGGGAGGCTGAGATGCGCCCCGCTATGGCCATTCCCAACCCAGCTAAGCCACATCCCCCTCAGCTATGTGGATGGGTCCTCTCCAGGTCTGGTCCCTTCAGCCCGGCCTGGCTCCCTGTTGTGTGCGCTCACATAGATGACAAAGTCCTTTGGCGCGGTATCCAGGCTGCCCGACAGTGAGATGGTCTTGGGGATGTGCTGCAGTGTAATGTTGGAGAGGTAGACTTTCTGGGCCAAACGGATGGTCACCTGGCCACGGTCACCGGCGAAGGCCCAGCAGTTGCCAGGTGTCACATTGGGCTGGAAGAGGCAGGTGTGAGGGGGCTGTGTATGGGGGATGGGGTCCCTCTTGCCATGACTCCCTCATTTCCTTGATCCCCTGAAGGAGGTCTCCTCTCTGTTCACAGAGATTGGCTCTAGCAGTTCAGGAAGGCCAGGGCCTGAGTGGGGCCTCCCAGCCTTGTTCTTCTCAGTTCCTGTTCATCTGTCCATTCATTTCCTCATTCCCTCATTCCCTCATTCATTCATTCATTCATTCATTCATTCATTCCCTCACTCCCAACATTCTTTGCATGCTTTCACTGGCACCCTGAGACTTAGACTTGAATGTGTTCTCCCTATACAGAGGAGGAAACTGAGGCACAGAGCAGGGAAGTGAGAGCAGCCCAGCATTTTGCAGACCTATGAGTGTAACTTGGTGATTTGACCCTGGGACTGGCTATTAACCACCATGATCTGACCCATAAAATGAGAAACGGAAGCCCAGGATGCAAAGAGGGTTGGCCTCACAGCACACAGGGAAGCTACTCATCCAGTAGGTGCTGGGCTTCTTGAAGACACAGTGTGCACCATCCTGATCTGGAGCTGTGATGCTAGGATAAGGATTGGGGGGAGGGGATCTTGGAAGGACTCCTGCAGGGGCTGGGACAAGGGAGAGTAAGCAATTAGCTGGGAGAGGCATGCCCACCCAAGGGAAGTCAGGTGGGGCTGGTGGCATGGAAAGCTGGAGCTGGATAGCCAGGCTTGGAGGTGCAGAAGCCTGAGTGGCAGAGCCTTTGCCCCAGACCTGACTGAAGCCAGCGTTTTGCAGCCAGGTGTGGCCCCTCTATTGCCTGGGCAGCACCACTTGTCACCCTGGCCGGTGCTTGCTATGTTCTGTGATTCCTTTCCCGCCTCAGGCCCACCCCGCCAACTCATTGTACAGTGGACCCTGCTTGTCCCCATCCACCCCTGGGAGGCCACTGTCCTAGATGGACTCTGGGAGGTCCTTGAGGGTGGGACCCATAGAAGGGTGGCCTGTGGCTGTGGCACTGGCCCAAGCTGATGAGCTCTCAGTGGTTTGTAGCTGCTCTGGGGCTTGGACAGGCCCGTTCCCCTCTCAGGGGTTCAGTTCCCCCATCTGTAAGGCAGAATTTTCAGGAGGGTGAGCGTTTGAATGCTGGCTCTGCCACATACCCATGCCCAAGTCATCTGGTGTTTTGGCCTGGTGTCCTCCAGTGCAAAGGAAGTACATCTTGGACCCACCCCCAAGGTGGCTTGAGGGTTCTTAGACCCCAAAGTGTCAGGACTGGGTGGGGGTCACTGTGTCCTTCTCCTGCCAGAGGCCTCCCTGTGGGCCTGGCTCCATTCTTGTCCTTCCTCCCCGACAGCACTCATCCTGTCCATTGCCCCTCCCCCCACCTTGTCTTTGCCTTATTGCTCCTTCCTGCTACTATCTTCAATCCTGCCCCACCTCTGCTGCCAGATCCTGTCACTAGCCCTCTCTTGGCCCTTTCCTGCTGTCCCCTGCCCTGTCCCCTGCCTCAAGGATCACGTCCGGGGGCTGCGCGTAGTTCCACAGCCGAATCCAGTTCCAGTAGGAGCGAGCCTTGTCGTGGTTGTATGTGGCTGACGTGTGCTCGAAGTCGATGCTGGCCCCTGTATGGAAGGGGTTATCTCAGTCTCTGCTGGAAGGAGATGCCTACTGAGGGCAGACTCCTGCTTGGGCCGAATCCCTGCTATCTCTGGAGCTCAGTGTACCCCGCTAGGCAATGGGATGAACACTGTAGGTTAGTAGTGTAAGAGTGACTTGCCTAGGCTGTGTGCCAAGGGAATTAATGCATTGGTATTTCCAAGATACTGGGCTGGTGTGTTGGGAACAGCTGCATGTATGAGCAGGGTGCAGAGGGGCCTGGCTTGAAAAGTGAAGGGAGGCCTGAGGTGGCTCTGGAGATGGGCTCTTGCATCTGATCCCACATTTCATTGAGGTCCAAGGTGCCTGGATCATCTGGTGTTGCCTGGTCGGGTCCCACTCCCACCTTCAAGCAGCCTGAGTTCTCTCTTGTGTCCTCATCCCGTGGACAACTAATACATCCATCCTATTGGCTAGAATGTCCTTTCTTCCTCATTAGGTCTCAAGCCACATGTCTCCCAAGGAGAGGGGTCTCTCTTCTCTAGACACCTGCTCTGTTCCTCCTGAAGCCACTTTCTGATTGTCATTGGGTCTGCTTGTTTGAAAAATTAGCCTGTCTACCACAATGTCTCCTCCGTGCACCAAGCCCCAGGTTTGGGGAATGCAAGGGGTAAAGAGTGGTGGAGAGGCGTGGGTAGAATTGAGAGCCATGGGTTCCTGCTGCCCACCTCTACCAGAGAAGAGAAACTAGCAAGAAGCCAGGTGGGAGCAGAGGTCAGCTCTGAGGCTGAACTTCACAGTAGCAGCAGCATGTACACCTCATGAAGGGTTTCTGAGGTAGGTCTGTGGTGGGCCGATGGGGGGAGGCAGGTCACTTACCTATGGACTTCAGGGCAAAGTCTGGCTTTTCAATGTAATCACCATGTATCATCTTCATTATTTTCTGGGCCATTTTTTGCTGAGAAGGCAGAAAACACAGGCTTTGTCCTGGTATATTCTTACAGACTATGAGCCTCTTCTGTGTGTCATGGACAAATGACAGTTGGCTGTAGGACACATCTCCCACTTTTAGAGGCTGTGGGTGGCCCTGAGTAGGATGGCCAAGTTGCTATACTGTGATGAAGACCTGAGACACAAAGTCACCCATATCCTCTAGGTCTGTTGTGAGCTTTCCAGTTCATGTTACAGGATGTTACATGGAGGTCCTGGAGACTTAATGAGGTCCAAGGCAGGGCCTCCAGAAGGAGGCAGCCCTTACTGCTGTGGGTCTTGGGCAATATGGTGCCTCTCAATCTAGATTTCCTAAGTCTGTAAGATGGGACAAAAATCCTGTCTGCCACCATAGCTGTGGAAGCCGTTAGGGATTAGAAAGCTGTGTGAAGCCTCACTATGTGCAGAACTGTTCTCAGTTCATCATGTTCTCTGGTATCCCCTACGACCTTCCTGAGAGATTTGGGAGATTGTCACTCCACCTTCGAGGTAAGAAGACCGCAGCCCACAGGAATAAAGCTTTGGTGCTCACACAGCTGTAAGAAACAGAGCCAGCAGCCCTCAGGTCTGGGCCCCTGAGCATTCTCCTGATATGGCAGAGGAAGACTGCAGAGCACTGTGCACAGTCAGTGCTCAGCCACGGCCAGCTATTCTTTTTAAGACACTTCCAGTAGAGGCCAGTTATGTTTTCCAACAATGGCTGCAACAAGATCTCCTGTTCCAAGCTCTACTTTTTCAGTCTGATGCTGATCTTCTCACAGAGGTGTGTGTGTGTGTGTGTGTGTGTGTGTGTGTGTGTGTGTCTGTGGTCTCTTTGTGTGTGTAGGTAGGTGGATGTCCAGGGTCCCCTGCCCATCAGTCTGGACTGGGGCAGGAAAAGATGCTTTGTGACTGAGTCCAAAGGACTTGCAATGTTGCTTGTATCTCTGGGGTCTCTCTCAAAGTCACATGTTATGAAGAAGCCGGGTCATGTGACAGGTCATCTGTGGGTGCTTTGATTAATGGTGTCTATGGTTTGAATATGAAGTGTCCCCCACAGGTTCATGTGTTGAACACATGATTTGTAAGTAGTGACACTGTTTTTAGAGGTTATAGAAATTTCAGGAGTTGGGTATAACTGGAATAAGTAAGTCACGGAGATGTGTCCATGCGGACTCTATTTTGCTCTGGCCCCCATCCTGTTGTTATTCTGCTCTGCTTCCTGTTGGCCATGAGGTAAATTAAACAGCCTCTGTCATACACTCCAACTGCCATGATATTCTGTCTAGCACACTGGGCCAAGCAAGCATTGACTGAGTCCTCTGAAACCCTGAGCCAAAAATAATAATCCCTCCTTTTAAGTTGTTACACTATGTATTCAGTCACAATGACAATAAAATAAGTAGAAAATTGGTACCGGAAGAATGAGGTTGTTGCTGTGGCTAAACCTGACCATGTGGTTCTTAAGCCTTTGAAATTGGTTTGTGGGAGGAATTTGGAAGAGTTTGACAAAACGGGCTAGAGAAGCCCTAGAATGCTCTAAGGCTTAATCATGTTGAAGACAAGCATCTGGGCAGTTCAGGCCAGGCACATGAAGTTTGAGGTGGTACTGAGACCAGGTGAATCCTTGCTGCATCCTGGTAAAGAAATGTGTCTACCTTTCCCGCCATGTTCCACTTTACGGAGCTTCCTTCCACCTCGTGGAAGGCTGAGTTTAAATTGATGGGCTAGTCAATCTATTTGGAGGAAGTTCTAAGACAGCATAGTGTTTAAGCAATGGCATAGCCATTTCTGGCTGCTTTTCAACTCGGGTTCCAGCAAGAATCAGGAGCAAAGAGCAGAGCAGAGCAGAAATATTTGATTTGGCCAGAAAAAGAACACATTTAAAGTTGTAGAGAAGGTGGTCCTTGTTCTTAGAAAGATTAGCTCCATTAAAAAGAAATCAAGTGCTTTTCATCAGGATGATAGGAACGGTGTCTTAAAGGCATCTCAAGCTGTGGCCAGACCCCACCACAGCTGACACAAGAATATGAAAGAACAAATTTATTTTAAAGATTTATCCCGGAGAAGAAAGTGCCTCTGGGGTACCCTGCTCACAAAGGGCTGTGTAAAGCAGTGTTTATCCAGGCTTGGTTTCACTGTGTTCAGTCCCTTAGGCATTCAGAGGCCTGGCTTCTACGTGAGCTTGCAGCAGACTTGGGCACCATCCATATAGAATACAAGAGTTATAGAGTCACAGAGGCTTCCACCCTGATTTTAAAGGAGGGCTGAGAGGCTAGGTGAAGTGTGGAGGGATCAGAATCCCCAGGATGATGTCTGAAACTGTAAGACTGAAGCTTGAGCAGCAGTGGAGGGCCTAGGAAGACAGAGGCCAGGAGCATGGAGTATTCGCCCTGGTAAGAGAGGTGCCCCTGGGGCCAGGGATTTTATATTCATGTGGTGCTAGAAGATGAAATGGAAGGCTTAAGAGCCCTCAGACACATGGTTAGGCTTTCCTATTAAGACATTTGTCCTATTAAGACATTGAAGATGATGGTCAGGAATCCAAATCAGTCAAGAACCTCTAATAAGTCTTATAAAATTTCAATCTCTGTCTAAACAGCTTAACACGCACCAAGAAAGAAATGACACGTTTACTTCATCTTTCCTGTGAAGCAAAGGGGATTTCCTCAGTGATACTTGCAATTATATAAGGCAAATATAAAGTTATTTTATATCATGTCATAAAAACACTAAAAATTACTAGACATTAGTAGGTAATGTCAAAAGCTGATATCAAGTGAGAAAAAGTAAAAGAAAAACAATACTGTAGATTACCCATATGTTGGAGTTAGCTGACAAAGATTTAAAAATAACAATGATAAATATCTTTTTTTTTCAAGATAGGGTTTCTTTGTGTAGCTTTGGAGCCTATCCTGGCACTCGCTCTGTGGCCTAGGCTGGCCTCGAACTCAGAGAGATCCACCTGTCTCTGCCTCCCGAGTGCTGGGACTAAAGGTGTGCACCACCACCACCCAGCTCATGATAAATACCTTAAATAAAGGAAAAGATAGAAAACAAATGGTGAACTGATGGCAGGATATGAGATGAAAATATGCTGAATATGAATTTTCAAATGAAATAATGCAATATATGAAATGAATGGTTGGTTTTATGTAGAGAATACAGTATTGCAAGTGAGTCTGAAGAAAACAGACAAAATTGTCAAAACTTAGGTCACATAGAAAAAGAATGAAGAACAACAAGAAATACATTAGGTAGGAAGCACTTGGAATGTGCCCCATAATTCTAGTATGGATATAATCAGAATATAAGAGAGGAAAGAGTTTATGAATAGGAAGGAATATTTTAAGAAATAAAAGCTAAGACTTTTAAGAAGTTGTCGGAAAAACAATGCATATATTCAATAATAGCAAACCCCCAGTTAGTTTATACTGGACACAAAAAGAACATTATAGTTTCTAGGTATAAAAAAGTAAAGGCAAAACAAACACCAGATTAGACCTAAAGGGTTAAAGGTCAGAATGGTGCAATTTTCAATGGCAATGATAAAACTAGAATATTATTGGCTTCCTTCAGTATTTTCAGGAGAAACTTTCCTTTCTAAATTTCTATACCTAGCAAAGCTATCAATTAGGTGTAAAGATAGGATAAGGATACTTTAAAACATGCAAGTTCTAAAGGAATTTAAAAAAAACGGTGTAACTCTGTTCTTTCACTCTTTCATTTGAAGTTATTGGCAGGGGGTGGGGCGGGGAAAATATTCTCTATCAACTTGAGGGGTGAAATGAAGGAAGAAAATAACAGTGTATCTATAAAAAAACAGGGCATGGACAAAGACATTGGGTGGTGCAGGGCCCAATGGCAGCATCTCACCTTATCAGACATGGCTTGCATCTCCTGGAGTTTGGCAATGAGCAGGTTCATGCTTCCTCGTAGGTCCTGGATTTCCCCAGTGTGATGTCGTACTTTCTCCTGGTACATCCTTATCAACAAGGAGGTAAAACAAGAACTGACTGCTTTATGATGTTGCTATTGTTGCCTTTTTTGTGAGTAAGCCTTCAAGGAACGACCTTTAAAACCTTCCACTCTTCTATTCAGGATGTTTCACAGCTTTTTCTGATGCCTATTTACTCAGAACAACATGAGAGCTTTGCCTCATCTCACAAATGAGGAGTTAAAAAGTCCAGAAAAAAAGTGACAACTTGCATAAACTCAAGTCACATAGAATTTACAGGAGCTAGGATTTTAAGTCCAGGTTGGTCTGAATGTTGGGTCCATAGTTTTAGCTTAGAATACACCCTGGATTCCAGCTATAGCTGTGCTTTTTAGGACTTACAAGTAGTTTGCTCTTACCTCAGGCTCTGCAGTGGGCCGTTGATGCTGTCATCCTGGTGGAGCATTGAAGAAAGCAGGGATCTCTGTCAGGTGACCTAATCTGGGCCTGATAAGAGCTTCATCTCTCTGCTCCCTCATGGCCCTTAATTCATCCAGTCATGTACCTTCATATTTAATACTTTTTTTTTTGAGACAGGGTTTTTCTCTGTAGCCCTGGCTGTCCTGGAATTAGCTGTAGACCAGGCTGGCCTTGAACTCACAGAGATTCACCTGCCTTTGTCTTCCATGTGCTGGGACAAAGGTGTAGACCACCCAGCCATTCGCTTTCATATTTAATCTCCCATGCATCCACTCACTTACCATCTATCCAAATTTGAATTGTTTCCTCCAAAATTGTCCATCCATCTATTCATTCATCCCTCTATCCATTCTTCCTCTATTTACACATCCTTCTTGTAACTAGTCACCAAACACTGAGAATGGAAGTCCCCTGCGCTTCCATTCCAACACTGAAATGGCTGTTGCTTGTATGACTCAGACCTGCCTGCTTAACTTAAAGGGGTTGCCATTCCAGTTGGAGAGATGGTCATAGTTACAGAAAATGGAGGAAAAGGAAAAATATGACTTCCTTTGCTTTGATGTGTCTGGAGGTTGTGATCTTTCAGCTAGATCTCGAAGAATACAACAGCTTACATAGGGAGAACAGACACAGGTCCCTCAGGACCCCCCCCCCCATTCTATAGGTCTCTGTGACTTTCTCCATCAGTAGCTCTGGCCACTGGTCTGCTCTTTCCTTTTCCCCAGGAAACAAAACATGATGGGGTGACTCTCAATTCACTGAGGCAGAAAGAGTAGAGGGAGCAATGTGGTTCATCACACCTTGTTTTAGCGGGGTTCTAGAGAAAGGGAGATGGGCCACTGCTGGCCTGAATGATAGGAAGGCCACCTAATGGTGAAGGGATGATTGTGTGGTGTGTGAGAGTCACACACAGGAGAGGGATTCCAGGTGGTTGGAGTGACAAAGGTATTGATTTGGATCTGGGATGAGTCAAGAATGGACCATCATCCAAATTTGGTGAGAGCAGGAGGAACGGCAGAGGGAATGTTAATGGCTTAGCTAGGTTGGCTTGCAGAGACTCACACTCACCTGCCAGACTTCCATTTTTGATGGTAAATGCATGGAAAACATCCAGAAGCCTGTGGGCCAAAAGAAAAAGAATGACCCACTTAACTCAAAAGGTTGAAAACTTAGGTTTGGAATTAAGGCATCTAGGTAAGGGTTGTGTAACTTCAAAGAAGTTAATCTCTCCGGAGCTCAGTGTCCTCCTCTGTGAGTTGGGATTAGAGAAATATCTGCATCATGCTCAAATGGTGTCCTCTGTGAGATGTGTGCCACATAAGTTAAATGACACACCTTCTACCTCGCACCTCAGCCTTGCTGCCTAGTGGACTAAGAGAAGGCAGCAGGGGCCTTCCTACATTTTGTGAGCTCCAGGTGGGCTTGAATATATTATTTAAAGACCCTTAAAACATATGTGTTGTTCTTAACTCTAAAACGTTTTCAAAGCATTGTCTGGCTTCTGCAACTATTTGTTGCTCTTAAGCTACAGGGTAGCACTCAAGAGACAGGTGGGGTAACTGGCAGCGTGAGAGACAGGGTCATCTCTGGGCTTCCTCTCCCAGAATGGACCCAAGCCTGGGGATTCCTCGATGTAGGCAGGCCTGGAGACGCACCAAAAGCACAGAGGATCAGGAGGCCCATCTTCTCCATGAGTTTCTGACAGAGCAACTTGCACCTGAGAAGCAGAAAGGCCACTGTCAAGGTCAGCTGAAGTCTGGCAGGGTCCTGCTGTCCTCGCTCCATTGTTCCATTTTTCTGTCATTCCTTACTGTTTCCCTCCTTATTCAACTTGTCCTTCAGGCACCAGCTCTAATGGCCCCTCCTTCTAGGACCTCCAGAGTCACCTCACCCTGCAATCTTTTTTTTAAAATTAAAATTGTCATTTGTTTTACATACCAACCACAGTTTCCTCTCCAGCTTTTCCTCCTGTTTCCTCCCCACCACCTATCTACTCCACCCCCCCCCATCCACTCCTCCTCCATTCTGAAAAGGGCAGACCTCCCATGGGAGTCAACCAAGCATGGCATATAAAGTTGAGTCAGAACCAAGCTCCCCACCTTGCATCAAGGCTGGGGGAGGCATCCAAGCATGGGGAATAGGTTCGCAAAAGACAGCTCAAAATTCAGGGACAGTTCCTGATCTCACTGTTAAGAGCCACACAAACAGACCAAGCTACACAACTGTCACCCACATGCAGAGGGCCTAGGTTGGTCCCATGTAGATTCCCTAGATGTCTTTCCAGACTCTGTGAGCTCCCATGTGCTCAGGTCAGCTGTCATCCTGCAGTCTTAGCCTGGTACTGTTTCCCCCCTGGCTGGAAGCCCATAGTGGTTGGTGGAGGGTGGAGCAAGGCTGGGCCCAGAGGAGCCATTAGGTAATATTCAAATGTAAAGTTTAAATGAACGAATGAGGTAGGCATCTCAGAAGAGAGATTTATATAGACCAAGCAAGCACAGGGAGAGGTGGGTGTGGGGTGAGGTTATTCTGGACAGGAAGAACACTGGCAAAGGTGTAACATGGTAACCTGGATGGGGTGTTTAGGGAATGAGGCCCCAGATGTGCAGGCCCCATGGTTTCATAGGAGGAGGCAGAATGAGGGCATCTAGGAAAAGAACGGTTGGGCAAGGTACATGCTGGGGAGTTGAGCAATGGGGAGCCACAGAAGGACTGAGATGGGGGATGTGACAAAAGCCAGCCTGAGGATGGCTCATCTGGTCTGACTAGCAGGGGGAGAGCCAAACTAATGAAGGTGCCATCATTGTCCCCACGCCATCCTCCCTCTCTCCTGCTTACCTGCAGGTGTTAAGTAGAACTTGCTGAGCCTGAGTCCTTAGGAAGCAGGCCAGGCAGGTGAGCCATGCTGCAGAGGAGATAGCATAGCAGCAAGGAGTTGTACCCTCATCTTGGTCCCATTGTGAACACTCACTGACTGTCCTTGGAGCTGGGAAACCCTCTTGATTTGATGTTTGAGCCCAGGATAGCGCCTGTCTCAGCTTATGTAAGCAACTGTAAGTTCAAGGCCTATGGGCAAGCCTTGCTTGAAGATGGCAGTTAACAGAGCCTGGCACTGTTAGCACTCAGCAGCACCAAAGATAATGTGTGCTAATGCCATCCCTGGACACTGGGAGCCTGGCAAGTGCTGTGTCCTTTTAGGGTTCATCTCTGGAGTGCAGCATGGTTTAAGTTAGTAAGTAGGGGTTCAGGAAAGATGAGAAGGTGAGTGTATGCATGGGGGAAGGGAGAACGGAAAAGAGGGTGGGTTCTTGGCTCTGAAGATTGGTAGGTAGTAAAATGGTACCATGGAGAGCCAGAGGACGGATGGATGGATGGAGGGATGACTGTCTGCGTCAACAAATGGAAATAAGGGAGCAGTGATGAATGGCTCAGTGGTTGAGTGGCTGGACAGAGAATGTTTGCATGGATGGTGTGTAGATGGATACTGGATGGGTTGACAGGTGGATTAATGGAGCTAAAGTAGAGAAGGACTTGGGACAGTTCCTCCTATGCCAGCAAGCTTTCCTCTTACTTCCCCTTCCAGGGAGGCCCTGCCTGGCCCAGGGTAGCCCGAGTTCTAGAAGAGCCTGGTCTGAAGCTGCTCCCCCTCCCCTGGCCCCTGCTCCTCAAGCTAGTTCTTCCACACATACATACACAGATATCCCAGTATGAACTGGGTTAAGCTGAGACCTGAGGTGTTGATGCGGAAAGGCAACAGGAGAGCATCATCTGCAGAGGACATAGACCACAAGAACATAGATCTCAAGACACGGGCTTGCGGAGACCTGGGGCTCCCGGGCTTGGTGTGCGTCTCTTGGCTGCGCTACCCCCAACTTTGCACCAGGTGCCAGTGAAGCCCCGGGACTCCGTTCTTGCTCACTCATGTTTGCTGAGGGTGCCTCTGTCGTTCTGTTGGCGGGGTGGCCCCTTTGGTTGCCCCTGAGGATGACAAGGTTTCCAACCACATTTTACATCCTAGAAGGTCCACGGTGCCACCACGTTTCAGATTGAGAAGCTGTGAACCAGGGACAGGCTAGGTCTGGCTGACCTCAAATCTGGGTCACCTTTAAGACAAGGTTCGAGGGTACTGTCGCCTTCATGGGATTGTCCTAACTGTCCAAAGCCTGTCACAGTCTTCCCATTCCCCCATGTGATACTAGCTCAAGGAGAGTTGGGGAAGAAGGGTTGGCTCTGAGGGTGTGGGACTAATAAAAGCTTTTCTTGGCTGAAATGAGGCCCAAAGGGGCCTGTGCCTTCTCTCTTCCCTTCCTGGACAGTCATGCTTCTCTTTGAAACTGGACCTGAGGTAGCCTGGAGATTAGCCACATGAGGTGCTAAAAAAGGAGCAACAGCAGTGGGAGCCTGGAATTTGGGATGGTGGTTTTTGGAGGTGCTGTAGGAAGGGGGCTAGTAGGAGGTTCTTAGGTCATTGGGTACACATTTTGGATTGTGGGTTCCTGGTCTCTTCACTTTTTTCTCTTTCCTACTTGGTTCACGAAGTGAATGTCCATTTTTCCTATACTCTTGTCATGTTGTATTGTCACAAAAACCATTGGGCCCTTGACTATGGACTAGAACTTCCAAAGCATGAGGCAAATCTTTTCTCATAATTACCACTGGTGCTTTGTTACAGTGATAAAACACAGTCTCACACAGTGGCTGGTTGTGCGAACATATTATTGGCCCTCTCCAAATATAAGATGCATACATTCCTGAGGCCTATGTGGCATGGTAGGGTGACCAGTGTATCTCAAAATAACCAAAGACAGGAGTTGAAAGGTTCCCAGCACAAAGACCTACTCCTTACCCTGACCTCACCACCACACATGTGCTACATAAACCACATTGCCACATTGCACCGGATAAACACACAATTCTTATGTGCCCGCTTAAAAACAAGGGATGAGATAATTATACAAAAAGATGAGCTAAAATGCCAATGTTTTAAATAATTCTTCCTCCCCTCATGGTTTGTTTTGTATGCCCTCTTGGAAGTAGGCATCATTTCAAGTTGGAATTCCTGTCACCTGCAACTGGATGACTCTTGACAAAGAGGATAGAGATATTTGTTTCCTTGTCCCCAACACTAGCCTGAGGTGCATTAGGGCAGTGAGCTTGCAATGCTGCACCCTTAGCTCACGGTAGGTACTCAGGAAATGCATGTTAAAACGTTATTTGCTTTGTGCTCGGCCATTGCCAGGACACCTTGGGAAAGCTACTTTGAGCCTCTCTGTCCTCAGCATCTACTTCTGTAAGGACAGTTGACAAGACTTGCTTATCCCCAAGAAACCCTGATGGGCTGAGAAAAGGCAGGAGTGCTGGCCTCACCTCCTGGGCCTGGCGCAGTGGCTCAAGTCTTCAGGCGGGGCACACGAGGCCCCAGTGTTCCTTGACCGGGGCATTGATTTCCTTTTTACAGGATGGAGTGAGAGGATGGAGACCTATGGGAGTCAATGAGGAGGAAGTGGCCACCACTGCCACCACCACCTCTGAATATCCCCTGGAAGGTACATGGAATTTACTGGGTAGGGTGGAACTGTCAGCTCTGTGACCTCATAGAACACTTATCCAAGTAGATCCCAAGTCTGTAGCCTGTTTCCAGAAGCTCCCCTCAGAGGATGCCACTGTGACTGGCTTTCCATTTTGAAGGTGTGAAGGTTGAAGTTGTAAGCCAGGGAGAGCCATCCCAGGGCAGAGGCAAAAGTGGAGGTGCCCGTAATCAAGGCACCCTCCTTGCTCCTAAGACTCTTTGCTGCCCCAAGCTTCCTGGGCTTACTGCCTTTACAGGTTGCATGTGAATTGATTTTCTTTCCGTTTGTTTTTTAAACTTTCTTTTCATTTATTCTTTGTGTCTTTCATATCATGCATCTTGATCCCATTCATCTCCCCGTCCCTTCATATCCAGCCTCTGCCCTTGCAACCTCCCCGCTAAAATAAAATACACTTTAAGAGGAAAAAAAAAAAAAGAAAAATCTTGTTGTGGAAGCTTTAGTGTGGCTCAGCCACTCACACAGTACAGTAAACCCTTTAGTCCATGTGTCTTTGTTTACAGTGTTCATTGCAGAGTCATTGGTCTGGTTTGAGGTCTCTGGTTTCTGCTACACCACCAATGCTGAGCCCTCACTGGGGCTCTTCTTGGATATTCTGATGTCCCATGTCATGGAGATCCTGCAGCTTTGGGTCTACAGGACATGCCCCTTCATGGGCTCCAGCAGGTCATAGATACGGTGGATATGTTGGGGTGGGCCAACTCATAACCCTGGTTCTGGGCCTGGGCAGCTGCAGGGTTGGTCAGCCTGCCAGCTGTCTGCCGTCCCCACCACCAGGGTGAGCTCTCCAGCATTGCCCTGGCTAGTTCATCCTCTGCAGCAATGAATAAGGGGTGGGGCCAGTTCTCCTGCTTCCATGCCCTCAGGGCCAGCTCACCAACACCCATACAACCAGGGCCAGCTCTACTGTGTTACCCAGCAGGGGCCACTCCCCCAAGTGCTGCAGCTGGAGAGGGGCAGGGACAGCCCTCCTACTCTTATGACCTCAGGGCCAGCTCTCCCACCTGCCACAGGTGGTGAGGGGAAGACCACCTCATGGCAGAAGAAGGGTAGGGATAGATTTCCCACCCCTCATGTTCTTGGGACCAGCTCACCTGTACCCCCATCAGCGGGGTCAGATCTACTGTGCTGCCCAGATAAGGTGCAGGACCTGCTTTCCCAAGTGCTCCAGCTGCTAAAGGGGAGGACCAGCTTCACCTCCTGCCATAGGTGGCAGGGGCAAAGGGCAGTGCACGTTTTCCTCACCCTTACCACACTGCAGATGAGGGGGGCAGTAGCAGCTGTTTCACTCTCATACCCCCAGGGCCTGCTCACCCATGCCCCTGTCTACAAGGACAGGTCTACTGTGCTGCCCAGGGGAGGTGTGGGACCCACTCTCCTGATTGCTGCAGCTGGTGAGGGGCAGGACCAGTTCTCTCTAGTGTGGCAGCCAGTGAGGGGCAGAGCCAGCTCTGTACAGCCCTATCCCCTTGTCCTTTGTCGGTGGTATTAGGAGTCATGGGTATCAACACAGACTGCAGCTGCAATAGGGCCATAAACTTAGACATGGGCACCGGTAGCATTCCAGGCCCAGACATCACCGTGGCCCTGGGTAGCAATTAAGCTACCCACTTCAGCCCACTCCTCACTGCATTCACCTTTTCATATGTGCTTCTTTCCATAGGACATGAACCATTCTGTCTGTCTCCATAGCACACCATATGTTTGCTCACCACAATGGTGCCTGACTGCCGGGTGCCGGAAGGAGCCAGGTGGGTCTCTGTTTTCTCCTTAGCACCCTGGGTGGACTGCTCCAGGCATGCGTGTAGGTCCTGGGCATGGCATTGGGGTAGGGCTGTGTTTCCTTCTCAGTGCCTGGGACAAGAACAGGCCTCTCCAGAAATCTTAGCATAGGAAACTCCAATGGGGAAAGGTGAGCTGGAGAAGGCCTGGCACTCACCTCTCAGTGGGTACAGGTCCAAGACTCCAATGACAGCACATGTTGGATGGTTGGGTCTGCCTCCAGGTTTCTCTAGGTTATTCAGTGGCAGGATGGGTTTAGGGGCCTCAGGTCAGGGGCCTTCAGCAGGGGAAGGTGGGCAGGAGAAGGCCCGGCATGCCATCATAGAGCCTTCACCCAGGAGCTGATGGAAGCAGGAGCAGAGATTCACAGCCGAGCACTGAGCCGATCTCCTGGAATCCAGTTGTGGAGAGGAAGGAGTGATGAGCAAAGGGGTCAAGACCATGCTGGAGAGACCCAAGAAACAGCTGACCTGAGCAAGTGGAAGTCCACAAACCCGAGTCTGACAGCTGGGAAACCAGAATAAGACCGAACCATTCCCTCTGAACGTGGGTGTCAGTTAGGAGGCCTGGGCAGTCAATGGGGCCTCTGGCAGTGGAACCAGTATTTATCCCTAGTGCATGAATGGACTTTGGGAACCCATTCCCCATGGAGGGATACTCTCTGAGCCCAGATATACAGGGGAGGGCATAGGTCCTGCCCCAAATGTGTCAGACTTTGATGATCCCTCATGGGAGGCCTCACTCTCCCTGGGGATTGGATGGGGGTGAGATGGGGATTAGTGGGGGGCATGGGAGGATGGGAGGGAGAGGGAACTGGGATTGGCATGCAAACTAAGATTGTTTTAAATTTAAATAAAAATTTATTTTTTTTTTAAAAAGAAGTCTTAGCATAGGACAACAGCTCTGCCAGTGATTTCTCCTAGTGAGACTTGCTTGAACTTCTGACCTCCAAAACTATATATTTGGGTGTAGGGAATGCAGCTCAGCTAATAGACTGCTTGCTTGGCATGCATGAAGCCCCTGGCCTCTATCCTCAGTGCCCAACAAAATGGGATGTGTGCCTGTAATCCCGGCACTTGGGCGGTGTGGAGGCAGGATGATCAGAAGTTCAAGGTCATCCTTGACTATATAGCAAATTGGAGTATAGCCTGGACTATAATGAGACTCTACATTAAAAAAAGAAAAAAGATGACAAATCTTTGAGTTTCTAAATGTGTGGCGATTTGTCTTAGCAGCCCCTGGAGAATGTCCAGTGAAGGGGAAACTGAAATCCTGATACTAATTCTCACAAGGCCTTTCAACCGTTCATTTCCTCGATGTAATTTAGCACTCAGTATGTTCCAGTACTGGGCACAGTGTTGGGCAGAAGACCTGTAGGCAGAGTACCTCGCATGTAGAAGGTGCTTGGCAAACAGGGCTTGCATTGCTGCGTGGAGGCTGCAGGTTCTGGAGAAGGTGCTGGTGAAGACTCTCCCTTTGTGTCACCTGGGTGTTACCCAAGTGTCCCTTGTGCTGGGAAAACTGAAGAAGAGGAAGTATTCATGTCAAAAGCAAACACAGAGAGTGACATTGGTCAATATTTGTATGTCTCTTCACTGTCTGATGAGTGAGCAAAAGGACCTGTTCTTGGGCAACGGTTGGCAACCTGCTGCTGGGAGTGGGATACCACCCACCTCTGACATCTCATTCTTTCTGCCTCTGAGAAGTGGGCCAGGAGCGCTGACTGGGAGGCAGGGCTATTCCAGGAGCACTTGATGGTGTCTGCAGTTAGTTCCGTAGGTGCCGCTGAGGATCCAGCTCCAGGTGGCTCTGGGTCCAAGCCTGGTATTTGGGCTGTAGGAGCCACATGGGCCTCTAGAACAGGAGAATGTCTCCCACGTCACTTGTGTCTGTGGCCCAGATGAATCACTCAGAAGAATGGAAGGGAGTTCCTGGAGCCAGGCCATTGCTTATGCGTATACACAGGTGAGTACACGTGCGTGATACCCTTCCCCCAGGAAGCAGTCCACTGCATTCAGAACACACAGGCACCTCAAATCACTATTCTAGGCCCACAGTCCCTTCACTCAACAGCCCAACATATCTATACACAGAACTCTTCACACCTGTGGCCATGAAGTGACATCATTAAGCAAGATATCACCATGCCATCTATCCATCCTTATACAGCCATTTCCCTCTGATACCAGTTCCTGTGACCTCACGTGTGTGTTCATGTAATGATGCAATGCAACCTCATGCTCACATACATGCCACCTTTTCTCCCATACACGATGGCCGTCCACTGTGACAGAGGTTGCATTTGGGTCAGCCACACTCTTTTCTGTTCCCTTTTGTGTGAAGGCTCAATGTGTGACCAAGATCAGGGCTCGTTGCTGGGGATTGGGGGATCAGAGAGCCTTCTGCCTTTCCTCCAAGAGTCATATTTCTGGAAGAGCTTGGAGACACAAAGCTATCCCCCTGCCCTCAGGTACCCTTGCTCCTGGACCTTGACCTGGCCTGACTAGCATGGTGAGGGAACATTTTTGGGAAGAGTCATCCTTCCAGATAGCTACAAATCCTTGAGCCAAAATGCCAACAGATCCTCAACAGTTGGCAGCCATGTTTGGTTACGTGGCAGACCCATCACACGGGAGTAGAGTCACTTGGCAAGGCCATGTTTGTAGGGAAAACACTTGCAACCACAAGCAAACTGACCACTCCCTGGCTCCTGCCTCATGGTCTGCAGGCTGCAGTGAGGGAAGCCTCAAAAAGCAGCCGTGCACCTGCTCTCCAGGCAAAGCGTCTCAAGACCGAGGGTCCACCTGCCTTCAGAACCTTTGAGGTAGGAATGAGCTGCATGGCTCCTTCTCCCTCTGGTTCATGGGGATGCCACCTCCAGCCACTCCCTGCAACAGGCACCACCCAGCCTTGCAGGGAATATTGACAAGTGCCATCTAGCGATGTTTCAGCTAGCCCATTGGAGCACTGGCTTCTCATTCCTGCAGCTGGGGTGAGACCCCTTCTCAGAGCTGGGTTCACAACTGACCAGTAGGCTGGTCTGGTCTCAGGGGACCCAGGCCACTCTTAGG